TATGTGAAATAGTTGCAAAATTAACGTTAAATTCCAATTGAACTTAAAATGGATTGTTTGTTTCCTTTTATTCAATGTTTACAATAGTAAATATATATGTATATTATGATATAAACTAAGGAATATATACATAATTATTCTTCTGTCACTTCAGCAATTTTGTCTTTTTTACATGCATTTCATAAAATTCAACATTTTAGTTTATTATTATTAGTTAATATTGATGAATAATATACATGTACATTACTTAATGATATATATACTCTTTATTTTAAACAGAGTTACGGTTCTTTGTGGTCAATCTGATCCACCTCACTATTAAGACCACCTCGCTATTAAGACCACTTTTGTCCAGTCCCCAAAATGGTCTTAATAGCGAGGTTTCACTGTATGTACAATGTATGTACATCAGAAGGTACTTTGTTGTTTGTTAAATATTGTCTGGGTATATCACATTTTATAAACTATACATTTCTGTGTATGTACAATGTATGTACATCAGAAGGTACTTTGTTGTTTGTTACATATTGTCTGGGTATTTTCTTAGTGATACATTCCTCTGCACCAGACATTGGTATGTAGTAGGTTTGTATGTACATACAGTACTATGTAAGTATATATTATAATGCTTATTTATCGACATGATATTGGATATAATGAATAATTCCTGGAAACACTAGTCCTACGTCGATTGTCTTGTTTGTTTACCTGATATCATCATTTATCAACATTAGTGTAAATCTATTTCAGGATAAATATAAGAAAATGCAATATTACAAGTTTTCATAAAAAAGGATTAAGAGATGGGCTGATCTAGGCAAAATATTTTATATTATTGCTTTTTAAGCCTTTTTAAATTGCCCTTTTGATCCGTCACCTGAAGACCGTAGTCTGTGGTCCGCCCGTCCTTAAGCAACCTTATTATTGCTATTTCGTGAGAATTGTTGGAAGGGTATTTCTCTAACGTGATGATTTGATTGCCTTTGTCTGTCCCTGGTTATGCCAATCTAATGTAACATGGTGAATTGTACATCATTTGTATTTCCTTATTGATATTCGTTCCCTAATGTTTTATCAATATAATGCTATATAGATATTGTCTATGTCACATGACAGCCACGTGATACAAATGTACAATGTGGATTATCACTACATGTATTTCAATTATATTAATTATTATTGTTATAATTGTATTATATTCTACGGATAGGCTCAGTATATGTAACAACGAGTACGTAATTTATATAAAAGATTTAAAGTTTATTCACAGAATAAAACGAACTGCGTCGACCAATCGAATTTCAGCGATCAGTTCAGATCAATTTCTTTGTGATCGATCTGGCAGTTCGAGATCTGACAGCAGACGCTCAGTATCTGTTTTCAAACGTCTGAGTTAGCAATGTGATTTCTAAGTAATATATCTGTTTATGATTTACTATGTATAAGTATAACTGGAATATGAAAAATGCGTGTTAACACAACTTACTGTATTTGTGATCGCTGCTGTTTATTAATATTTTACCTGTATCTACATACATGTAATCACATCGTAAGTGTTAATTAGTATATTCGCTTTGCTACTATTTGATGACGTCTGCGATAGCGTGATGAATAAGATCGTGGTGCTGTAAATTGTGATGATTTGTAATTCTCGTTTCCGTGGTTCAGAACTTACTGAATTTTATTCTTGAATTTTTCATATATCGTAAGTTTCTAATGTCCATCTCAGGTGTTCATCTCAGGGAGATTTATTGTAAAGCGAAGAAGGATTTTTGCTATCATGTCTCGTTTACCTTACAGTGAGTTTTGTTAACACTGTTCTGATTACTGTTGACATAGGCCATGTTAACAGACACTGTTTCTCGGTGTATGACAAATGTGTATGTAATCCTATGCGAGATGCCACCATCAATGCAATTGTATGATGGTGGTCAAAATGTTAATCCTTCTCATTCATTTATTCTAATTTGTTACAGGTGCGTTATCATCTGTGTTTCTATTGAATGTTATGTTTTTAATATATTGCAGACGAATGCCTTCCGTCTGTAGCTAAAATTAAAGAAGAATCGAACTGAAGACTGAAGCAGAGGCTCTGTTGCTTTTTCTGCTGGTTACACTATTTTTAGCTTGTTAAAAAAAATCGCCTACAGGCGGCCATCTTAGATTTGGACAGTCGAAGTTTGCTGTTGTTTTAGATCTTGTGTGCAGGTTTTCCCTAATCCGCTGTTCAGACTGATTTATTCTAAGGCTGATCAGGAAAACAAAATTATCAACAGGCGGCCATCTTTGATTTTGACTGCTGGAATCGTTATCACTTTTTCTCGAGAAATACTGGAGGAATATTTCTTTAACTGTATCGGAAAAACAAAATGTCTATGCAGGATTTAGACAATGAAAGTTTGTTATCGCTATTTCTCGAGAAATATTGGACACTATGTTGTTTATCTTGAATATTTCACTGTTAACTATTGTACTGTTTATTATCCTACTGAGTGACTTCTATGCCAGTCATTTACTATATCCATCTATGACAGATCAACCACTATATGGGTACAATTGAATTTATTATCTTTTATAATGTAATAATATGAAATACTATATCTTATGAGAGCGGACCTTGATACCTTGATCAAGGGACCTACTTGATCCAAAATGAAGGACTCTTCCTACTTACAAACGAACCATTCTGTGCTGTCCTGGTTGGTATTTTACCCGAATTGATCCAAAATGAAGGACTCTTCCTACTTACAAACGAACCATTCTGTGCTGTCCTGGTTGGTATTTTACCCGAATTGATCCAGAATGTAGATCCAAGGACTTACTTTCAAACGAACCATTCTATGCTGTCCTGGTTTGGCAGTTTATCCTAATTGATCCAGAATGAAGATCTGAGGACTTACTTACAAACGGACCATTCTGTGCTGTCCTGTCATTTTACCCTAAATGATCTAGATGGTATATAGCTGGTCTCCTGTACATTCTTTATGGTAGCCCCTACAAGAGGACTTCTCCGCGAAGTAACCCCGCCTGGGTATATACAGGCAAACTAACACAGTAACAAACTTGTGTAGGATACACAAGCTATGGTGAGATTGTATTAAGCCAACCAAGTCAATACTTTTAATAAAACTTTAATCAGGATACAATACAGACAAAGAATAGATTAAACTGCAACACACAGCTGCTTCGTCCTTTTAGGACTCGTCAGTGATACGAAGGGCCTAGATTTTAAACCCAGGAGGTGCCTGCTTTCTGTTAACATTCATGGAATTATAATTGCAAATTCAATATGAATCTCTAGTGTACTTCATTTTCTCTTATCCTGTTGGCGTTTATATTCCTATCATTTCCAACTGAGAGCAATTAAATGCTTAATTAGATATATTCTGTATAATACTACCGTATCTAAGTGATTGTTGCAGGAAATAAAAATAGCATGTACATACTTCAGTCAATTAACAATATGTACACACAGACACACATTATATATATATATATAAACTTTATTTATTTTACAACAATTGCGAAGCAAGTTATGTCAACTTATACTAATCACTCTTGTTGGCCCGGATGTAAGCGCGCGAGGGGTCTTATTGTGGGAGGAAACCGGAGTACCCGGGGAAAACCCACGTGGTCGGGCAGGTGACCCCTTACCTTACCTTACAGACACACATTGTAGATACTTACTACAACATACAGACATACATGTACAACACAATAAAAACAAGCGATATGACTATGTAAAGTACTATAATTAGAAGTAGCTTTATATCGCAAACAGGTTTAACTAGGACATATGTACAAGCTGTATCCTTACAATAAAGAAAATAGGAAAAAAAACAACCATAAGGAATGATTAGTTAAGTAAATCAAGAAAATGAGTTTAACAGAAAAAATGTTTCTACCATGGAAAACTCTCATTAACCAGTTGTGCAAAAAAGAGATTTGAGGTTCAACTTCATTACATCGTAACGAAGCATTTACCAATACAATATTCAGCACCTGACCTTTATCGTTTACTACATGACATTAACCAATAGTTAGGACCCTTTTTTATTTAATTCTTGGCAGCCGAGTTCAATTTCATAACAAAACATTTACCAATTAAATGTTTGACCTTGACCTTTTAACTCGTGACATTGACCTGTAGTCTGGCCTCTTTTTATTTAATTCTGGTCAACTGTGTTAAATGTCAGAGAAAAATCTTTACAAACTAAGAGATGTCATAGAAAAATCTTTACAAACTAAGAAATGTCATAGAAAAATCTTTACAAACTAAGAGATAGATGTCATAGCAAAATCTTTACAAACTAAGAGACAGATGTCATAGCAAAATATTTACAAACTAAGAGATAGATGTCATAGCAAAATATTTACAAACTAAGAGATAGATGTCATAGCAAAATATTTACAAACTAAGAGATGTCATAGCAAAATATTTACAAACTAAGAGATAGATGTCATAGCAAAATATTTACAAACTAAGAGATAGATGTCATAGAAAAATCTTTACAAACTAAGAGATGTCATAGAAAAATCTTTACAAACTAAGAGACAGATGTCATAGCAAAATATTTACAAACTAAGAGATAGATGTCATAGCAAAATATTTACAAACTAAGAGATAGATGTCATAGCAAAATATTTACAAACTAAGAGATAGATGTCATAGCAAAATATTTATAAGCTAAAAGCAAAATGTTATAAGAAATGAATTACAAATTAAGAGTAAGAAATATTTAGCTTTAATGAGAAAATCAGTGATACATGTTTACTACCTAACGATGACACTGATATAATTAATACTATGAGTATCAGGCTCTATACGAATGTCTTGTTAAAGTCAAAATCCGTCTAATTCCATTTATTTTACAAATAAAAACAAAAGATAATTACATGAATACATATGCACAAGTCTGTCTTTGAAAGGGAGTAAAATCAGCTTTGTTTCCAGATAGTTAAACAAAGGATATAAAAAAAACTACTATGCATTTAACGGCTTGTAATATCATGTTTTTAATCAATCGTTGTGTGCAGTAACGATATTTTTGTGGTTCGAATTTTCGAGACTTTTAAAACATGAAGCTAAAGAGGTTGTCATATACAAGGAAGAATTGAGACTTAGTGAAGCTTTCTTTATCAGTTCTTATTTCATGGTTTCTCGTTTTCGCGGTATCAACCATTGTATATATACGTTATAATAAATGAAGATGACCGTTAGGTCTGAAAACGTTGGCGGAATACATTTGCTGTGTTGATTTTCTTCTTTTCAAACACACACACATATATATATATATATACACATTTCTTTATTGAAAGACTGTCTAGGACCTAATGATATAAAACACCATGTTTCAAGTTATCCTATTCAGCGGGTCGTCAACACTCTTTATTTTAATCTGTTCAGTCTTTTGGGTGAACGACGTGGTCGTATTCTGATTCAGCTCCGGTTGCGACGTCACGTTTCTGGAACAAGTCATAATTACCCTCCGTTGTTGAGCAGGACTGTGAAGTGGCGTAGAACGAATCCCTCACACCGTTGTCGCGTTCTCTGCCTTCTTGAAGATCATTGTAAATTCCTTCTTGAAGTGGCCGTGCACTATCATAGGAGTTTGATACATTTGAAATTTGTTTAGAAGTAAACCCATCGCCAAGTTTATCATAGTTCCCTTCATCCTGGATCCTCATTTCATTATCGCTGTTGGTATTATTTGATGCGGTCGGATCTGTAACACTACTTGCTGCGACTCTCAGTCCTGATGCGTCGGTTGACTGCACGTGCTGCATTTCTGTGTAGTCATAATGTGGATGGCTTTGCTGGTGTGGTGTTCGTTTTGATTTCATTCTGCAACAGGTTTGTGAGTTTAGCAAAGCTGAATATTTGTTTCGGAAGTATTTGTGGGTGTCAAAGTCACGCATTCATTGAATAAATGTAATACAGTAACAAATTTACTACGATCCTGTTTGTTTTTCTGTGAATAATTTCTCATTACCCACTAATTGTTTACTCAGCTTCAGAAAAAGGTGTTGCAATATATAGAACGGATCATTACGTTATTCTCCTTTTCATTATTTTTGTATATCGTGACATAAGTGTAGAAGCAAATCCTAAGGTTGTGTTTTATTTACCTTCTCTTCACAAGAATTGATGTTCCAACTATGATACCGATGAAGGCGACTGCCAGGACCGTACCGAGTATGATGTAAACTGAAAAAATAAATAAATCAAATTACATAGCGTAGAACAAAAATTAGTGTCAGTATATCTCTGCAACTTTTTTTTTAATGTTTCCAATTCACAACAAACGTGTTTCAAGCCATTTGCGCTCTGGTAAAATTTTGTTTAATCGAAGACCTGATAGTAATGAACGTATCAAGTATTATCTTAATATATGCTTTTTGTTTGTGAAAGTTGTTATTCACTGGCGAGTCTTTATTACATTTCTATGTCCGCCGTTAGAGAGAGAGCGAGAGAGAGAGTGTAAGGGGGGGGGGAAGAAGTGAGGGAGAGAGAGTGAGCGTGGGGGGGAGGAAGTGAGGGAGCGAGAGAGAGAGTGAGGGGGGGGGAAGTGAGGAAGAAAGAGCGAGAGAGAGAGAGAGAGAAGGGGGGGGGAAGTGAGGGAGAGAGAGCGCGAGAGAGAGAGACAGGGATAGAGAGAGAGAGTGGGGGAAGGGGGGCGGAGGGAGGAAGTGAGGAAGAGAGCGAGAATTCGAGACAGAGACAGACAGGCAGACAGGAAGGGAGGATGAGGGAGGGAGGAAGATATATATCAGATTTATTGTACAAAAGGACTCGTCAATGATTCTGAAAGTCTAAACTGGCGACCGAGGAAAAATGAACTTGAATTATAACAAAATAAAACAAGTGTAACAAGCGTTAGAAAATACGCCCGTCCTAAGTTGAACAACCATGACTGGACGAATTTCAGGTTTTGGTTTCTAGGTTGTAAGATTGATTTCCAAGATTATCTTCTGAATTTCTATTAAGTTAACGGTGCTTTGCTACAAAAACTGCTCAGACGATTTGTAGCACAGGATGTTTTTGATTCGTAGGAAGGATTACTGACAGCTCTTAAACAAACGGACATTGATGATTGGTAGAAAGGTTTCATTCATAGGAAGGCTTATTGATGATTTGTAGGAATGTTTATTATGATATTTACTTAAGTTTACAGACTATTCATAAATATTGCAAGTTCACTGACGATTCATAGGAAGGTTTATTGCCATCGTTTGTAGGATTGGGTTGAAAATCATGGATTAATCGCCCTTTGTGGAATTAGGGAAATTGTCCAGTGCAGTATCACATATAATTGAGACAACATGGTCATGTAATGGTATGTTGACTGGAAGCAAAATTGTAAGGATTTACCATGTTAAAGTGCCATCCAAATAACCATTTAATTATTATTACGTAATTTATTGGGCGGAAACCTTTTTTGTAATTAACCTTCATATGAAGTTTCAAATCAATAAATAAAAAAAATTACTCGAGTTATTGAGGTGAAACCTATTATGCAAATGTAACAAGGGCCATAACTATGTTAATAATGGGCGAAAAAATTTGGTTATCGAACTTGACCTGGCTTTTATGGTAATAAACCTTCAACTGAAGTTTAAAATTAATCTGTAAAACAATTACTCGAATTATCGATCAGAAACCTATTTTGCAAACGTACCAAGGGCCATAACTCTGTAAATAATGGGCGAAAAATTTTGGTTATCGAACTTGACCTGACTTTTATGGTAATAAACCTTCATGTGAAATTTCAAATTAATCTGTAAAAATTATTCAAGTTATCGAACGGAAACCTATGTGCGCCCGCCCGCGTGAAAACATAATACGTCACGTCTTTCGACGGGAGTATAAAAAGCGAAACGGAATGAAGGTGTACTATCCCCAAACTACAATACATTTAGTGAGTTTTAATAAAATTACAATTGAACTTGGAGGTTAAAGGTCATCAGCAGTGCCTACCACCTACAAAAACAAATATTGTACAAAACATACACAAGCACCATACCATAGGTTACCAGTTTTAGAATGGGATATTGTGATGTTGTTAGCAAAGACTAGAAGAAAGGGCAGACCCTGAAAACAACTAAGGTGAAGAAAACCAGATAGAAATGTAGCGTTCTCATGGTGGGAACAAGGGTAACAGCAAGCACGTATCAAAAGTGATCACAAATAAGAGCTGAAGGCAATTAAACGTACCGGTAGAACGATCATCAGTTGGGAAACCAGAAGTACTGACCGTGGTGGAAATGTAATGGTGAATGACTGAAACAAAACCGACACAATCTTACTTCGCCAAACACATGACACGGAAAATGGGTTTTAATTTCACAATCTTACTTCGCCAAAGAATAGCGGTAACATGGGTTGTAATATTATATTCTTACTTCGCCAAAGAATAGCGGTAACATGGGTTGTAATATTACAATCTTACTCCACCAAAGAATAGCGGTAACATGGGTTGTAATATTAATCTTACTTCACCAAAGAATAGCGGTAACATGGGTTGTAATATTACAATCTTACTTCACCAAAGAATAGCGGTAAGCAGAATGAAAACGCAATCCTTTCAATTGATCTTTATTTGTATTAAATCGAATTGAACAATCGTTTGTAGATTCCATAACCGCTTATATAGCTGTCAGCAGTAATTGATGTTTTTATTAACTATCATTAACTTTTTTTATTTATTTTGAAAAAAAAATGAAGAATTGTGTTAAACTATTTGAAACTATTGATGGAGATAAGAGGTCAGTTCTCTACATCAGGCAGACTGACAGTTTCAAATCGGACACTTTATGAGTACCAACTTAGAAATAGGACGTAATGGAAGTTACAACACATACGACAAAAAAAAAAATAAATAAAAATAAAAACGAAAAAATAAATGATGTGACCTGCGGCGATAACAAGAAGATTGTCCCCTCAGTAGAAATTAAAGAAGAGTATCTACACTTCTGCAGATGCCTTAGTCAAGTCATCTGTACCGACATGTAATAAAAGCAAGGGTAGAGACAAGGCCTAGGGACAACAAAACCAAACGTACCATTAGTCATACAAGCAACAGTCAGTCGTGCCATAAATGACATTTTTGAATTAATTTTTCAAATACTTTAATTGGAACAAGACATGGGAATTTTAACTAGTGTGTATCATATATATGTCGAATTGTTCAGAGGTATGTTTGTATCAAATGGTATTGACCAAATTGATCAAGTAACACTATCCTTTGCAGAAGTTGTCAAAGTGGAAACGAACGTGTGTGATAAATGTCTATTTTCCATCCCTAACTCAAGTTATCATTTGGAAACCAAAAATCTATTTTAAGCAACAGTGACCTTTGTAGTTGACCTTTCGACCCCCAACTCAAACTCACACTAGACCTCCTACTAAAGTAATTTCATATCAAGTTTCAAACTAATCCGTCATCCATTACTCAAGTCATCATCTGGAAACCATCCGGACGGGCGAACAGGCAGACGGGCGAGCGGACGGACGGACAGACATACAAGCAGGGAACTAACAAGAAAATACCAACATTTCAACATAGTCTTAAAGGGGCTATTTGTCAAGCAACGTTTTTTCTATTCAGCTGGAAATGAAAATATATGTGTCCAGATAAACAAATCTGTACATATTAGTTTCCCCCTACATAGCCAATGTCCAGTGTGGTCAGTTTAAAATCTGGGGAAGCCCCTGCCAAAAATAGCGATAATCCCAATATAGCGCGAAACGCTGTGCCCTCTGGTGGGAAGAAGACTGTAAACAAATGCACGCCATATGGAGGCATCAAGTGACGAAATGGTGTGTCTGATTTCGCGTTAACTCCTTTCATAAGGAAATCATGAAAGAAATTGCGTGGTAAACCTTTGTGAAACATATAAAAGTTACTAAAATTCACGGTGAATTGTTATTTGATGGGTTAAATCTGCCAAATATGGTCTTACATACAAAAAACTTCACCAGCGATGATGACTTATCACTTACCAACAGTTTAGGGGAGTCTTCGTCATTACTTTGGAAAAAGCTTTATTTCTTGAACTTCTCCAACCTCTCGCACTGCTCTCTTATTGTTATTCGAGGGTGAGCTTTCTGCAACTGGCCTTTTCGACGTTTTGTGTTCGATGACGTGACCCGTTTGCCACGAACACGCTTCGGCTGGGAAGCCTTTTTTGTTTAGTTTTTTCAGACGCGTTTGCTCATGCTCACAGGTTAAAGTGTGCATAGGCGGCTTGCTCATTTGCATTTATCGTGTCTATACAGACGATTAGGATTTCCCATATAATTAATTAAAAACCGATGGAAAACTAGCGCTTGTATCAATATGTCGGCGAGGATAATTCATAAGGATGAATTTGTAACTAGAAAAAAAATAAACAAACTTGACTAAATAGCCCCTTTAAATCAGCATTGAAATCGGCGAAACAGGATCGAAATAGGTACAAACGAAATATTTGATGGAGTTATTAGGACCATGTGATTCAGAATGGCAAGCGTCCTCTGCTTTACAAAAAACACCAACCGTGCAAATATTGAACAATACAATTATATAACATCACGATCTCAAATGGAATATCTCCCGACAAGATTAAGGCAAAGATTGCTGTCCGAGTCCTGCGTGTGCCTTCGAGCATCGACAATAGCATTCGACAAATAGGCACTATTCAATACCACAACTTCAACAGCCAAAACAATGAGGTAAAACAACAGGTCGCAGCTACCGACATAGAACATGCGAAATACATGTAAATAATAAATAATGCATTTTGGAAAAATAAAACGGACAGCAAATGGAAACAGTTCGGAACGTACCGATGGAGAGATTCACTGTCGGAAGGCTAGAAGTGCTGTCCGTGGTAGAATTACCATTGTCAAAGCCTTGATTGGTCTCCTTATTACCAAAAACTTGATCTTTGTCATCTACTGAAACACAGAAATACATTTAAATATTCACAATATTTCTATTTAGAGCAGTAAAGACAGAAAGGGATCACGCGTGTTCCGGAGCAAGATATTCAATCGCAGTTATATAAGTTAATTTTAGATTTTGAGGTAAATTCGATGATAGCAGTTGTTCGCACATCTATGATAAATGAGACTGGAGAACAATATGATAAAGCATGCATGAACACCAAATTTTCTTCAGTGGAATCTTGATGGGTAACTGGTAAAAATTTAAATAAAATTCAAGAAAAAAAAAAAAAAAACAAGAATATTAGTGAAACGGGTGAATGCTCACCAAATATCACTTTATCGGACTCAAAATTTTAAACAAAGAGCACTAATTCTGAAAGGGGATACGTTGCATGCCCTGAATTTGGTATACTGCACATCCTCTTAGTATGACCAATGTATACACCAATGTTCATAATACAAGCAAAATAATGCTCATGACAAAATTTAACAAAGGGAAATAACTCTGTAAGTGAGGGGTCATTGGCAAGGACTTTCCTTTTGTGTGACTGATGTATGTATCACATTTCAATATCTTAGTTTAAATGCTGGCAAAGTATTGAGCGGACACAATATTTAACAAAGGGCAATAACTATGTAATCAAGGGGCTGCAGGCCTAAACACGGGTACATCGCAAGCAATTGCAAGCAACGTTATACTCTAGACAAAATATTTTGAACAAGTGGCAATAACTCTGTAATTGAGGTTCTAAGGTACTGAATATGTTTCCCCGAAAATTTGTGGAACATAAAAACAAAAACAAACATTCATAATTACACATGATATATTAAAAATTGCGATATACTTACAGTTTGCTTTACAAACGGCAAATGCTCTATCGGAACAGTTTCTCATTTTGACATCGTGATCGTTGTTTTGGATGTAGGAGCATCGTGATGAAGTGTTAAAAGAAGTATTACCTACAAGGTGAAGGTGTTTTCGTGCTTAATAAATTACAAAAAATATTCTACAAGAAAATGGCAGAGGTATTGTAAACCGTTTAAAAATATCAAAATCTTTGAAATTTGACATAAAAATGAAATAAACCAGATTCTATAAAAAGTAACCATTGTTGTTTTTTTTATTAGAATATCAATATCATGATTTGTTATTTTACAATATTTCAGAGAAAAATCCATACAGGTAACATCAGAGCAGTGGAAATCTGTTCTCTAAAGACGGGTGTGATTGGTTTCTTGTAGACCTTTAAAGACGGGTGTGATTGATGTCTTCTGGACCTTTAAAGACAGGTGTTATTGGTGAGTTGTGGACCTTTAAAGACAGGTGTGATTTGTGTTTTGTGGACCTTTCAAGACAGGTGTGATTGATGTCTTTTGGACCTTTAAAGACAGGTGTTATTGGTGTGTTGTGGGCCTTTAAAGACATATGTGATTGATGTCTTCTGGACCTTTAAAGACAGGTGTTATTGGTGAGTTGTGGACCTTTAAAGACAGGTGTGATTTGTGTTTTGTGGACCTTTAAAGACAGGTGTGATTGATGTCTTTTGGACCTTTAAAGACAGGTGTTATTGGTGTGTTGTGGGCCTTTTAAGACAGATGTGATTGATGTCTTCTGGACCTTTAAAGACAGGTGTTATTGGTGAGTTGTGGACCTTTAAAGACAGGTGTGATTTGTGTTTTGTGGACCTTTAAAGACAGGTGTGATTGATGTTTTGTGGATCTTTAAAGACAGGTGTGACTGGTGTCTTGTAGACCTTTAAAGACAGGTGTGATTGGTGTCTTGTATACCTTTAAAGACGGTTGTGATTGCTGTCTTATGGAGCTTAACAGACGGTTGCGATTGGTGTCTTGTAGATTTATAAAGACAGTTGTAATTGGTGTCTAGTCGACCTTTAAAGACAGGTGTGATTGGTGTCTTGTGGACCTTTAAAGACAGGTGTGATTGGTGTCTTATGGACCTTTAAAGACAAGTGTAATTGGTGTCTTATGGACTTTTAAAGACGGTTGTTATTGTTTTCTTGTGGACCTTTAAAGACGTTGGTAATTGATGTCTTGTGGACCTCTAAAGACAGGTGATTTGTATAACGTGGAACTTCATTTTTCCTCTATCCCATTACGTGAAAGAAGTTGAAATGTTTGTAATATGTTCTTACATTTCCTGGTTTCGTTGGTGTGAGCGTTCTTCTCAATGTCAGAATAATATTTATATCCTATCTGTTATAGATATAACTATTACATTGTATGAAGAGTTTCGGAATATTTACTGCATCAATTTTTCTGAAATTCTTCCGTGTCGAAGGTGGCATACATACTCTCGAGGTCCATTTTTGGTCATTACCGGAAGTTTAACATGTGACGTCGGGCAAATATTCATAGGCTGACTAAGAAATTCCGGTGTTTATTTTTAGACCTAGGTTAATTAATTCTCATGCAAGTTTTGCAAAATCATTTCGGAAACATTTCGTGCTCTAATTTTAAAGCAACTTGTGGTCTGTTTATCAGACAAGCAAATTTGAATGAATACTTGACCATGTCTAAAGCTATGAGAAGTATTTCGACCAATCAGAAAATACAATACAAAATAACCACGCTATGATAATATTGATACTGTACCTGCTATAGATATTGTTTGTGTGTTCGCTCTACTTAATGCCACCCAGAAAGTGGTAGAGGATGAGTAATTGGAATTTTGTCTTTTCAAACTCTTTTCAACGTCCTGGTTTTGCGATACATCGGCAAGATTAGCATCTTGTTCGCGACAAAATTCATTAGATTTTATCCAGGACATTTTTCTGGAGACATTGGCTATCAGCTCGCCATTCGAACCTTCAATAGATATGTTCATGTCAGTAGTTTTGGTTTCAGTATAAGGTTGGAACAAAAGGTGATAATTATCAATAACTTTTCTTATAGCTTTTCAATTGAATATCATTGTGTATATCAGCGAAGACTACACACTGGTCTGTATCTGTACCATGTACATGGTCTGTGAGGAAGGGTATATATAGATTTCTTCAATAATACATCGTGTCATTTCACTACCAGACCATTGTGAAAATTGCTGATAGTTAAATAATTATATTATATATATCACTAGTAGTATATGACCTTCCGGCCTTTTGATTGGTGAGAAAATGAACTTTACGAAAAGGCGATTTACGCACTCGCGCAAATTAAAATGCGCAATTAGTAGTTCACGAGTGTTTTTGTTTCATATTGTTTTGAAATGAGTTTCTACCAATTTTGATGATAATAAACCCTTTATTACTTGCTAAGATTTGTGATATTATAGTAAAGATATTTTATATATATATATATAAAAAAAAAAATTAGTGTCCGGTAAAAAAACCCCAAATGAAAACACCTCTGACTAATTAAGCGCAATGTCAACGTCAGCTAAACAAAAGATGAATAGACCTAACAACCAAGGTATGTATGTATGTATGTATACAGACCAATATATCTTTAAAATCTATGGTGTATATGTATATACATGTATACTTTGGTAAATTTACCTGTTAAACAGATAGGGATGTGTTCTTCTTCACACAAGGCGGTCCTCGATGTCCCATTCAAGTAAATGTACGCACAATTATGCCTGAGATCAGACTCTTCCGGACATGTGTTTAGAAAGCCTGTTAGAAAACCATTTTTCACATAGAGTGTTATTTATAAGCCATGTTTTGATAAGCTGTTGCTTCATTTGGCAAGTCTGGGTTTAAATCTATACTGTTTGTTCAGGTGATAGAAAGAATGTAGTAATGACACAGGTGAAAAAGCAAACAATATTTTTCGTCTTTTCTATGAAATATAAAAAAAAATTTACAATACCGCCATTGAAAAGTCAGATCCGATATCTTCACTGAAGTCTGCATCTAAATAGGAGTGACTTCCCTTACATCACATCAACTTGAGTGTTGATCACTTCCCAATAGTAAGCACATTATTTTAAACCAAGAAATTATCAACAATTCGTTACCAAGCCTATTTATCAACAATGTTAAGATTATGTTTGATTTGCTAACACCTGAACTAATGAAACTATTGAAAGATAATTCAGAAGATTCAAATTTGCTAATTTTAAAGCGGTAGTTGCTAGAATTTAAACACGTTTACTAGATAAATCATAAAAAAATTATTTGACTATACCCAATGTACATATTACTTATACAACGGTATGAGAACATTAGCACTTACACCTAGTATACTGCGTGTGTGTGTTAATCCCACCACACGCTCCCCTGTCTCCTTCACAAGCCTTTTGGCAAAAGTAATAGTTTGTTTTCGTCGCGTAAGGCTGTTGTGTGCAAACACATTCTTCCCCCTGTTGAATAAGAAACGATAAAAAACAATGGTGTACATCTGAGAACTAGGAAACGTATAAAAGTGTACTAGATTTACTTAGGAAATTCACTGAGTGATTTATATAAAAGTGTACTAGATTTACTTAGGAAATTCACTGAGTGATTTATATAAAAGTGTACTAGATTTACTTAAGAAATTCAATAAGTGATTTATATAAAAGTGTACTAGATTTACTTAAGAAATTCAATAAGTGATTTATATAAAAGTGTACTAGATTTACTTAGGAAATTCACTAAGTGATTTATATAAAAGTGTACTAGATTTACTTAGGAAATTCACTAAGTGATTTATATAAAAGTGTACTAGATTTACTTAGGAAATTCACTGAGTTATTTATATAAAAGTGTACTAGATTTACTTAAGAATTTCACTAAGTGATTTATATAAAAGTGTACTAGATTTACTTAGGAAATTCAATAAGTGATTTATATAAAAGTGTACTAGATTTACTTAGGAAATTCACTGAGTTATTTATATAAAAGTGTACTAGATTTACTTAGGAAATTCACTGAGTGATTTATATAAAAGTGTACTAGATTTACTTAAGAAATTCAATAAGTGATTTATATAAAAGTGTACTAGATTTACTTAAGAAATTCACTAAGTGATTTATATAAAAGTGTACTAGATTTACTTAAGAAATTCAATAAGTGATTTATATAAAAGTGTACTAGATTTACTTAAGAATTTCACTAAGTGATTTATATAAAAGTGTACTAGATTTACTTAAGAAATTCAATAAGTGATTTATATAAAAGTGTACTAGATTTACTTAAGAATTTCACTAAGTGATTTATATAAAAGTGTACTAGATTTACTTAGAAAATTCAATAAGTGATTTATATAAAAGTGTACTAGATTTACTTAGAAAATTCAATAAGTGATTTATATAAAAGTGTACTAGATTTACTTAGAAAATTCAATAAGTGATTTATATAAAAGTGTACTAGATTTACTTAGGAAATTCACTAAGTGATTTATATAAAAGTGTACTAGATTTACTTAGGAATTTCACTAAGTGATTTATATAAAAGTGTACTAGATTTACTTAGGAAATTCACTAAGTGATTTATATAAAAGTGTACTAGATTTACTTAGAAAATTCAATAAGTGATTTATATAAAAGTGTACTAGATTTACTTAGGAAATTCACTGAGTGATTTATATAAAAGTGTACTAGATTTACTTAAGAATTTCACTAAGTGATTTATATAAAAGTGTACTAGATTTAACTGAGAAATTCACTAAGTGATTTATATAAGTGTACTAGATTTACTTAAGAAATTCACTAAGTGATTTATATAAATGTGTACTAGATTTACTTAAGAAATTCACTAAGTGATTTATATAAATGTGTACTAGATTTACTTAAGAATTTCACTAAGTGATTTATATAAATGTGTACTAGATTTACTTAAGAAATTCACTAAGTGCTTTACATAAGTGTACTAGATTTAACTAAGAAATTCACTAAGTGATTTATATAAATGTGTACTAGATTTAACTAAGAAATTCACTAAGTGATTTATATAAATGTGTACTAGATTTACTTAAGAAATTCACTAAGTGCTTTATATAAGTGTACTAGATTTAACTAAGAAATTCACTAATTGATTTTTTTAAAACGTACTTGATTAAATTAACAACAAGAGTGGTTAGTATAAGTTGAAATAACTTATTTCGCAATAGTTGTAAAATAAAAGTGTACACACTCCGCCATAGAACTATTTCGTCTTTCTAGAACTTCTAAGTGAAGTTAAGGTATAACACGGCAATGCAGGAAATTCAAATTTGTCGAAATGAATGTCAGATTGGTATGTGTACTAACTCGAATCTTTGAGCAAATTTTGATAATTTTCAATAAGACCACATCCTCATAATCCGTATTTGTGGCACTTTAAATAGTAACAAGTTGTGATGACAGTGACTTTTCAAGTTTTTGATGCAGCAAATTGCGTTCCTTGATAAAAACAAACAGCAAAATGTCGCGAAATGGATAAATGGCACCACCAAAATAAAAAAATGTCACCGATAAAGACATGGTTGGTGATGTTATTCACTGAATCAAAATGTCTAAATAACACCGATAAAGACATGGTTGGTTATGTTATTCACTGAATCTTTTCTGGTCTTATTAGCAACGAATAAAACAACAAAGTGTTTATTTTGTGGATATCATCACGTAATTCTAATGATTTATGAATATAATTTAGTGAGTGAAGTCACCACATAAGATACATGCTTATTATAGATGATATGAAATACCTTTACAAAAGCGGTATCAAATTCAGGACCACATGACTGCAAACATGCCGAACCACTGTTGTTAGAAATATTAAAGGACGTCGTTGTGTCAAAATCTCTCCAACATCCTGATAATTAGATCAAACGTTAACACTTAGCAACAGTGGGAACCATAATTATAATGATAGAAACACTGTCTGTAGACATTAGAGAGAAATACTGTCTGTAGATAGTAGAGAGAAACACTGTCTGTAAATAGTAGAGAGAAACACTGTCTGTAGATAGTAGAGAGAAACACTGTCTGTAGATAGTAGAGAGAAACACTGTCTGTAGACAGTAGAGAGAAACACTGTCTGTAGATAGTAGAGAGAAACATTGTCTGTAGACAGTGGAGAGAAACACTGTCTGTAGATAGTAGAGAGAGGCACAATGTGTTAATAGTAGAGAGAAACACTGTCTGTAGATAGTAGAGAGAAACACTGTCTGTAGATAGTAGAGAGAAACACTGTCTGTAGATAGAAGATAGAAAATACTGTCTGTAGACATTAGAGAGAAATACTGTCTGTAGATAGTAGAGAGAAACGCTGTCTATAGACAGTAGAGACAGTGGAGAGAAACACTGTGTGTAGATAGTAGAGAGAAACACTGTCTGTAGATAGTAGAGAGAAACACTGTCTGTAGATAGTAGAGAGAAACACTGTCTGTAGATAGTAGAGAGAAACACTGTCTGTAGATAGTAGAGAGAAACACTGTGTAGTTAGAGAGAAACACTGTCTGTAGTAGAGAGAAACACTGTCTGTAGATACAGAGAGAAACACTGTCTGTAGATAGCAGAGAGAAACACTGTGTGTAGATAGAAGATAGAAATACTGTCTGTAGACAGTAGAGAGAAACACTGTCTGTAGATAGAAGATAGAAATACTGTCTGTAGACAGTAGAGAGAAACACTGTCTGTAGATAGTAGATAGTAGAGAGAAACACTGTGTGTAGATAGTGGAGAGAAACACTGTCTGTAGATAGAAGAGAGAAACACTGTCTGTAGATAGTAGAGAGAAACACTGTCTGTAGATAGTAGAGAGAAACACTGTCTGGAGATAGTAGAGAGAGACACTGTCTGTAGATAGTAGAGAGAAACACTGTCTGTAGATAGTAGATAGTATAGAGAAACACTGTCTGTAGATAGTAGAGAGAAACACTGTCTGCAGACAGTAGAGAGAAACACTGTCTGTAGATAGTAGAGAGAAACACTGTCTGTAGATAGTAGAGAGAAACGCTGTGTGTAGACAGTAGAAGCAGTAGAGAGAAACACTGTGCGTAGATAGTAGAGAGAAACACTGTGTGCAGACAGTAGAGAGAAACACTGTCTGTAGATAGTAGAGAGAAACACTGTCTGTAGATAGTAGAGAGAAACACTGTCCGTAGATAGTAGAGAGAAACGCTGTCTGTAGATAGTAGAGAGAAACACTGTGTGTAGATAGTGGAGAGAAACACTGTCTGTAGATAGAAGAGAGAAACACTGTCTGTAGATAGTAGAGAGAAACACTGTGTGTAGATAGTAGAGAGAAACACTGTGTGTAGATAGTAGAGAGAAACACTGTCTGTAGATAGTAGAGAGAAACACTGTCTGTAGATAGTAGAGAGAAACACTATCTGTAGACATTTGAGAGAAACACTGTCTGTAGACATTAGAGAGAAACACTGTCTGTAGATAGTAGAGAGAAACACTGTCTGCAGACAGTAGAGAAAAACACTGTCTGTAGATAGTAGAGAGAAACGCTGTCTGTAGACAGTAGAGACAGTAGAGAGAAACACTGTGTGTAGATAGAAGATAGAAATACTGTCTGTAGACAGTAGAGAGAAACACTGTCTGTAGATAGAAGATAGAAATACTGTCTGTAGACAGTAGAGAGAAACACTGTCTGCAGACAGTAGAGAGAAACACTGTCTGTAGATAGTAGAGAGAAACACTGTCTGTAGATAGTAGAGAGAAACACTGTCTGTAGATAGTAGAGAGAAACACTGTCTGTAGATAGTAGAGAGAAACACTGTCTGTAGATAGTAGAGAGAAACACTGTCTGTAGATAGTAGAGAGAAACACTGTCTGTAGATAGTAGAGAGAAACGCTGTGTGTAGATAGCAGAGAGAAACACTGTCTGTAGATAGAAGAGAGAAACACTGTCTGTAGATAGTAGAGAGAAACACTGTCTGTAGATAGTAGAGAGAAACACTGTCTGTAGATAGTAGAGAGAAACACTGTCTGGAGATAGTAGAGAGAAACACTGTCTGTAGATAGTAGAGAGAAACACTGTCTGTAGATAGTATAGAGAAACACTGTCTGTAGATAGTATAGAGAAACACAGTCTGGAGATAGTAGAGAGAAACACTGTCTGTAGATAGTAGAGAGAAACACTGTGTGTAGATAGTAGAGAGAAACACTGTCTGTAGACAGTAGAGAGAAACACTGTCTGTAGATAGTAGAGAGAAACACTGTCTGTAGATAGTAGAGAGAAACACTGTCTGTAGACAGTAGAGAGAAACACTGTCTGTAGATAGTAGAGAGAAACACTGTCTGTAGATAGTATAGAGAAACACTCTCTGTAGATAGTATAGAGAAACAAAGTCTGGAGATAGTAGAGAGAAACACTGTGTGTAGATATTAGAGAGAAACACTATCTGTAGATAGTATAGAGAAACACTGTCTGTAGATAGTATAGAGAAACACTGTCTGTAGATAGTATAGAGAAACACTGTCTGTAGATAGTAGAGAGATACACTGTCTATAGATATCAGAGTGAAACACTGTCGGTAGACAGTAGAGAGAAACACGGTCTGTAGTTAGTAGAGAGAAACGCTGTCTGTAAACAGTAGAGACAGTAGAGAGAAACACTGTCTGTAGATAGTAGAGAGAAACACTGTCTGTAGATAGTAGAGAGAAACACTGTCTGTAGACAGTAGAGAGAAACACTGTCTGTAGATAGTAGAGAGAAACACTGTCTGTAGATAGAAGATAGAAAATACTGTCTGTAGACAGTAGAGAGAAACACTGTCTGTAGATAGTAGAGAGAAACACTGCCAGCAGATAGTAGAGAGAAACACTGTCTGTAGACATTTGAGAGAAACACTGTCTGTAGACATTAGAGAGAAACACTGTCTGTAGATAGTAGAGAGAAACACTGTCTGTAGATAGAAGATAGAAATACTGTCTGTAGACAGTAGAGAGAAACACTGTCTGTAGATAGTAGAGAGAAACACTGTCTGTAGATAGTAGAGAGAAACACTGTCTGTAGATAGTAGAGAGAAACACTGTCTGTAGATAGTAGAGAGAAACATTGTCTGTAGACAGTGGAGAGAAACACTGTCTGTAGATAGTAGAGAGAGGCACAATGTGTTAATAGTAGAGAGAAACACTGTCTGTAGATAGTAGAGAGAAACACTGTCTGTAGATAGCAGAGAGAAACACTGTGTGTAGATAGTAGAGAGAAACACTTTTTGTAGATAGTAGAGAGAAACACTGTCTGTAGATAGTAGAGAGATACACTGTCTCTAGATAGTAGAGAGAAACACTGTCTGTAGACATTTCAGAAAAACACTGTCTGTAGACATTGGAGAGAAACATTGTCTGTAGATAGTAGAGAGAAACACTGCCAGCAGATAGTAGAGAGAAACACTGTCTGTAGATAGTAGAGAGAAACACTGTCTGTAGATAGTAGAGAGAAACACTGTCTGTAGATAGAAGATAGAAAATACTGTCTGTAGACAGTAGAGAGAAACACTGTCTGTAGATAGTAGAGAGAAACACTGTCTGTAGATAGTAGAGAGAAACACTGTCTGTAGATAGTAGAGAGAAACACTGTCTGTAGATAGTAGAGAGAAACACTGTCTGTAGATAGTAGAGAGAAACACTGTCTGTAGATAGTAGAGAGAAACACTGTCTGTAGATATTAGAGAGAAACACTGTGTGTAGAGAGAAACACTGTCTGTAGATAGTAGAGAGAAACACTGTCTGTAGATAGTAGAGAGAAACACTGTCTGTAGATAGTAGAGAGAAACACTGTCTGCAGACAGTAGAGAGAAACACTGTCTGTAGATAGTAGAGAGAAACACTGTCTGTAGATAGTAGAGAGAAACGCTGTGTGCAGACATTAGAAGCAGTAGAGAGAAACACTGTCTGTAGATAGCAGAGAGAAACACTGTGTGTAGATAGTAGAGAGAAACACTGTCTGTAGATAGTAGAGAGAAACACTGTCTGCAGACAGTAGAGAGAAACACTGTCTGTAGATGGTAGAGAGAAATACTGTCTGTAGATAGTAGAGAGAAACGCTGTCTGTAGACAGTAGAGACAGTGGAGAGAAACACTGTGTGTAGATAGTAGAGAGAAACACTGTCTGTAGATAGCAGAGAGAAACACTGTGTGTAGATAGTAGAGAGAAACACTGTCTGTAGACAGTAGAGACAGTAGAGAGAATCACTGTGTGTAGATAGTAGAGAGAAACACTATCTGTAGACAGTAGAGAGAAACACTGTCCGTAGACATTTGAGAGAAACACTGTGTGTAGATAGTAGAGAGAAACACTGTGTGTAGATAGTAGAGAGAAACACTGTCTGTAGATAGTAGAGAGAAACACTGTCTGTAGATAGTAGAGAGAAACACTGTCTGCAGACAGTAGAGAGAAACACTGTCTGTAGATAGTAGAGAGAAACACTTTTTGTAGATAGTAGAGAGAAACACTGTCTGCAGACAGTAGAGAGAAACACTGTCTGTAGATAGTAGAGAGAAACACTGTCTGCAGACAGTAGAGAGAAACACTGTCTGTAGATAGTAGAGAGAAACACTGTCTGTAGACATTAGAGAGAAATACTGTCTGTAGATAGTAGAGAGAAACACTGTCTGTAGATAGTAGAGAGAAACACTGTCTGTAGATAGTAGAGAGAAACACTGTCTGTAGACAGTAGAGAGAAACACTGTCTGTAGATAGTAGAGAGAAACATTGTCTGTAGAGAGTAGAGAGAAACACTGTCTGTATATAGTAGAGAGAGGCACAGTGTGTTAATAGTAGAGAGAAATACTGTCTGTAGATAGTAGAGAGAAACACTGTCTGTAGACAGTAGAGAGAAACACTGTCTGTAG